CTGATAAAATACCTATATCCTCATCCTCTAGATATGAACACTAACCCTTTTTAGAACTACTATGAAATTATAAGTCATGTAACTGACCTATGTAACTCAAGATAGTTTTCAAATAAAATACAAACCTATGCAATCTATTAACAAACACCAATACCAGCAGCAGTAGTATCTCCCTTTCTTTCAGCTCAAAATATTACGTGCATTTGAATTGCCTCACTAGTACTGTTTTCTCAATAGTTAATGATAAGAAAATTTAGCAAGTAAGCAGAGCTATCTTAATTTGAACCAATCCTGAAACAGTATGTATGATTCTGAGACAATATTACTGTATATGACTATAGCAATTATCTTTTCCACTTAGGTCTCAAATGCTACGATATTTATTTCTAGGGATACTAAAAATTCTCTGGATTTCTACAGGTTAGTGCTATAGAATGTTATTCTGGTCCTCTAGTGAAAGGATAAAATTTGTGGCACTTTTACAGAAATTAGTATAGAACAAATCTAAGATTGGACTTCAGTCTATAAAAAGGCAAAACAAAACAACAACAACAACAAAAAGTGCTGTGACAGATTGGGCCAGGGAGAAGGAGGCTGTTTTATAAAGGTCAATTTTTAAACCCCTCCTACAGAACATGATCTATGCAAAATATATCCACAATATATTCCAAAGCATAATGTCACCGGATAAACCTAAGGAGTTGAACATATGGGGGAATATGAAAAAGAAGGTATTAAAGTCTGAAAACAAGCAGGTTGGTAAGCTCATTAGCTGGGGTGGAATTTTAAAATCTTCACGTGAAAGAATATATAAATCAAAATATACACATGCAATCCCAGTCATGCGCACTGTGTATTCACACACAGCACACTGCAGTTGTAATCTTCCACTTTGGAACAGTAAAATCCCTCTTTATAAGTGTCAACGCGCCCTCTTCTGGTCATCATGAGGTATTTGCATTTCTGATTCACAACAGGAGATGCAACAGAATAATAAAAGAAATTTCCGGGATTTTTTACTTCAATTTTATGTAACATAAATTTCACTTAGTTTTAAATATTACTTACTTTAGTTTTATTTTTTATACAAAAGCATTAATTTCTAAAATGATATAACAAAAGTGTGCAGGTAAAATAACTACTCACTTGTAATAAAGCAAAAATAGTGGTGAATTAAAAATAATTATATGACATTTTTGCTGAAAAACTAGAATATAGAAATATGGAAAACATACAGTGATATGTTTTTCAGGGAATTATGGCCTGGAGAGACATGAACATTTTATATAATTTTGTTATAAAATGGCTTCAGAAAGCAGAATGATCACTTTCAGCATTAAAATAGTATTAATGTGTAAGGAATGTTCAAATGTTGTTTAGGAATTATTGTATTAATTTGGAAAATGGTGAATTAAAAACTTTTTGGTGCATTTTAATTACTAACCACCTTTTTAATGGGAAGCAGCTGATTTTCAATAGTGAATAAGAAGGAAGGAGGAAGAAATACCAGTCCCTACTTAATGAAGACAGGATAAAAATCTCTCTCCTTAATCATCCCCCTGTAGAATTTTAATAGATTACCCTTTACATGAAGGTGGCATGATTAAAATTGGTTTCATAGTAAGTCACTGTTACTAATGGTTCTGGTTAGGTATGTTAAAGAGTAAAAGGGGCAGAAAACAACATATGAAAAATCTTTGCATTAAAACTATAAATAATTAACAATACTTGGGTGCACCAAGATTCTATGCACTGAAAAAAATGGCATACAAACTGGTTCAGAAATAATAATTAGAAAAGTTTTACTTTAAAATCAGAAATAATTTCTCACATATTTTTTCTTTCTGCACATAAAAATACTCATATCTGCAGAATGTATGCAACTTAAGTAACAAATTTCTTTCAATGCTACTTTGGTAACTATTTGAAATATTAACTGATATATTGAAATTCAAAATAAAGATTATACATCATCAACATCAAGAAGATACATACAAAAATTACACAAATGCATATAAGAAACTGTGGAACACTTTTACATTTATTCTGATTGTTAATTCTAAGAATGCTTATGTAAGAAAAATCATTCTATATTAAATTTCATAGCAAAAGTTCAAGTGAAAGAATTCTTATCTGTGCTAATAGTATTTTACAAGTTACTTATGCCAGGAATTCTTAGTTTTTAAGATCAAGAAAATGAACATATACTTGGAAAGATCCATGACATATATCAGCAGAAGTGTCTAAAGCAAAGGCCCAGGGCCAAGGCACCACATTTTTGTAGTTACCCTTTGTTATTATTCTGCCAAGGGACAGAATGGGTTGGACTAACCTGCTCACCAATGCACATAGACGTCTGCATGTCAAAAGACCCTACAGACCAGAAGACTGTTGTGAATTGGATTGGGTCCTCAGCCCCTGTCCAGCTGACTGTACTTGTATATGCCCTTAGACTTAGACACTTTAATGTTCTGTATTTTTCTTTCATAGGATATACTGTCATTGTAGCTATAAGGTGACTACTTTGGGCTGATACCCCCAGAGTGGGAAGCTCCATGAGAGCTAAAACCATTTCTCTTATATTCCCCACTATCTGTACAGTACTGAAGAAGGAGCCTGGCACACGAGAGGTGTTTAATTAATATTTTCTAAGTAAAAGAAGTGAAAGAAAGGGGACAGGGAGGTTAAAGAAAAAGGAAGGGAAAGAAGATCTCGAGAGGAAAAAAAAATTAAAAGCCCCAAACCTTTCTATTCCCTAAAACCATTATGAAGATCCAGATTTTCTCACAAGGTACACTTAATACGTGAAGAAGAAGGAGAAGGAGAAGAAGAAAAAGAGGAATTTAAATTCTTGGCCTTTTTCTTTTTTTCTTTTTTCTTTTTGGACCACTTGAAACTCAGACTACATAAAGTGCAAACTGATAAGATGCACCTGGCAACTTTTTATGAAACTGCTAATCTGAAATGCAGGATCTTTGCCCAGCCTCACTTCAGTCTTCCATTCTTTCTAGTGTGGACTTAGAAAGCTGCCAGTTACCCACAGAGATGTCAGGGAGCTTATCAAGAATGTTTATTAAAAAATAAAGCTCTACTTTCAGATAGTGGATTTTGGCATTTCAAATAGAATCATGATCTCTAAAAGAAAGCACAGGTGCTTGCTTAAATGGAAAAAAAAAAACCTCTAGAATACAAATTTAAGAGATTTGCCATATTACACATGAAAACCTTCCTGCTTAGAGTATGGGCCAGGACCAGAAGCAGCAGCATCACCTGAGAACTTGTGATAAAGGTGAAATCTCAGGAACCACTGTATACTGACTGAATCATATCTGCATTCCAATTAGACTGTCCTCCAGGTGGTTCATTTGATCATTAGAATCTCAGAAGGATTGCATTAAAAAATACCATAAACAGACTAAAAATCAAGTAAACCATAAAAAATTACCATCATTTCTGACAAATATCATTCCCTTATACACTTCAGTAGTTCAGATAAAGAAGCAAGAATATAAATTTTGTTATGTTTGGATGTGAGGTATCTCCCAAAAGCTCACGTGTGAGACAATTCAAGAAGGTTAAGAGGAGAAATGCTTGAGTTGGAGAGTCTTAAAGTGAAATAATCCCTAATGGGAATAACTGAGGGGTAACTGGAGGCAGGGGGTGTGTGGCTGGAGGGAGTGGTTAATTAATTGGGGGTGTGACTATGGGGTATATACTTTGTATCTGCAGAGTGGAGACACTCTCTCTGCTTCTGATCACCATGTGAGCTGCTTCCCTCTGCCAGGCTCTTCTGCCATGACGATCTGCCTCATCTGGAGCCCCAAGGAATGGAACCAGCCTTCTATGGACTAAAACCTCTAAAACCGTGAGCCCTCAAATAAACTTTTCCTATTTTACAATTATTCTGGTCAGGTCTTTTAGTCACAGCAGCGAGGAAAGCTCACTAAGACAAATTTAGAATATAAATACCCTAATAGAAAAACGAATGTGTAATAAACAAAGAATAAACTCGCAAAAATGTTTTTCACTAGAAATCAGAAAATTCAAATAACAAAAAAATCATATTTAATAGCAACCAAATTGGTAAAGATTAAAAATCATATCACCTACTCCCATAGAAGTGAATCAGGAAAATAAGACACTCTCCTACACTGTGGGAAAACAAGTGAATTGGCACGAGTTCCCACAGTGAATTTGACATTAAGTATCAAATGTGTTAAAATTGTATAAATTATTTGACCCAGAAATTCTAATTATATGTTTTTAAGTAAACTGTGGCATAAGAGGGCCAGCATGGCATTATTCATGACAGAGTAACTTATTAAGCTAAATAATTGGTTAATTAATTATGCTTCCTCCAAATGGTGGGACTATTAGTCAATGATTAAAAACCATGATTTAGAAGAATATCTAATGTACACAGGAGAAATGCCATTTTATATATACACATCCAGGAATGTAAAAGGACTGGAAGAACACATACCCAAATGTTATGTATAATACTTATATCATGTGGGAATATGGAAGAGTTCTCTGTGTGTTTCTATGTATTCCAAATTTTCTACACTGCATCTGTATTATTTTTGTGAGTACAAATAATGAAATTTATAGTGGTGTACTGGAGTCAGTTTATACTAGCTCACAAGAGCCAATTGTTAAGTTTTCAGGAATTTTGTGAGTCAGTTACTAAGCACAGATATTAAAGTAAATAAATTATGTACATTTTCAATTAGATAAATTCTATTTAGAGAGGTAGTAAATATTTAAAACTCATCACATCCCAATTGTTTTACTCCCTCACTATTATCTATGACCTTGATGCTGCTCCTTCCTATCCTACCTGTGCAGTGGTTCTTTGTGGTTCTTCATCTTTGTGATTAAAAGTGTTAGAATGAGCCCCAATTTTCCTGTCTTTAATAGGTCATGATGTCATTGGTGTACCAATTACTTTTTCTGGAAGTAATAATTAATGGATATAAATTATCTACATGTTTCAGTACCTGAAACCATAGAAGAATCTGCAAAAGATGATTCTGATGTATTATTCTCCATGTTCTGGCCTTCTTTCCATAGGCTTGGCTGATCTGTAGCTGAAAGAAGTGACTCATTTACTTCAGAACCATCTTCATGGCATGACTTCCCAATTTCTATGAATTAAAGTATAGAATAAAAACAGTGCAGCACAGGTTTTCACGCAGTACATACAATCCATCATTATCTTGAAAAACAAAAACAAAAAAAATGGGGTTCCAAATAGAGGTTACCTGAATAACCTTAGATATTTTAGAATTTGGAGCACAATATAAATTGAACAATAATGCAAATTTTTATATAATGTAAATAGCTGTTATTGTTACTTTGAAACTATAAATAACTGAAAACAAATTAACTGAATGCCACCTCCCAACTTTCTGTCCAGAGATGTTATGTTGAAAGCATTTAGAAACCAAGAAACATAACACATGCTTATGATGTTAGTTATCACATCAAAATGGCTGTGGACTTAATATAAAGTAAAATCAGAAGCAAGTATGTTCATATTTACAACTGTTTAATACTATGTTCATTTAAAATATTTTAGTGAAAGAGGAATCATTTTAATTTAATTTCCTGTAAAAATACTTTAATAATAAAAGTGCTCACAAATCCCAGAGCCCAAATTTTCCCTATGTTTAGTAGGGTTATCATACCATTAGTGCACCAACTGATTTTTCTATAAGTATTAATTAGTGGATATAAAGTATCTCAATGTTTCAAGTACCTGAAACCATAGAAGAATCTGCTAAAGATGACTCTGATGTAATATCCTCCATGTTCTGGCCCTCTTTGTCTAGGCTTGGCTGATCTGTGGCTGAAAGACGCAACTCATTTACTTCAGAACCATCTTCGTGGGGTGAATTCTCAACCTCTGTGGAAGTATTACATGTAAATCACAGTGCAGCACAGGTTTTCATACAGTACATATAACCCACTGCTATTTTAAAAATAGAGGTTCCCTGAATACTCTTAAATATTTTAAAGTTCTGAGCAAAATAGAAATTGAATTGCAATGCAAATTTTTATACAACGTAAATAGCTGTTATCTTGAAAATGAAATGTGGGCCCCTAATAGATTTACAGTAACATACTTTAAATCTTTGACATTTCAAAGACATAAAGCATGTTTTTATTATGACATAATATTTTACTTTTAATATGAACACTGTAGTTTTTTGTAATGACTGGATTTTATCGAAAAAGACGATTTAATAAGTGTGTGCTAATCATAAATAAAGTGAGACTATTTGCTGTCTGACAGTGACCTTCAATGACTCAGTGGTTCTAAGCTACATTTGAGGCTGAATTAATGAAAATGCAAATTTGATAGTTTTTCTTTAGCTTGTGCTCTCACCATTTTGTTCCCTGACTGTATGTTCTGCGTGAGTTGTACATCTGCTTTAATGTCAGACTAAATTCATGTATTCTGAATTCCTGGAGATTTTTTTAATTCAATGAAATATTCTGTATTCCTCCTTTCTCTTTTCTTTTCCATTCCTCTATTCCTATTTTTCAGCTTTGTTTTATTAAGGGCCTTTATAGAACACAAAGAAAGACAAAGAAGCTCAATCTGTCACAGAAGTCCAATGCCGTGAAGAAAATTTATCAAGGTCTGAATACACATTGACCCACCTTAAAGGATCAAGGAAGCTGCATGGAGATTTTCTTGAAGAAGGGGTTGTGACTTTGGACAAGTAGCCAACTTGACATTCTGCTCATATTTACATCTAGCTGTTGGACATGTTTGGAGCTTATAGCTAAAATAGTCAATTTATTCTGTGCTTAAGATATATTATATAATTACATATATTAAATAAATTAACCCTTTAAATAAACCTAGATGTTAAATAATATCCCCACTCTACAGAGGAGTAAATTGAGGATCAGGGAGTGAAGAGTATAACTAAAGATGGAACATTCAGGAAGGAAACCAGGAGGCAAAAAATGTTAAGAATCTAGAGCTTGGGCTTCTGCATCAGCCTGCTTGGGCTATTACAACAACATGCCATCAACAGGTAATTGCAACAACCGAGATTTCATCTCTCACTTCTAGACTTGGGCCAAATATGACCCTAGTGCCACCATGGCTGACGTCTGCTGCCAGCCCTCTTCTCAGAGTACACCCACCCACCACCTTCTCAGTGTCCTCACATGGGAGAGAGAGATACACTTTTCTTTCTCCCTCTTCTTAGAAGGCCACAATCACATCGGATTAGGGCCTCTCCTCCATGACCTCCTAAAGACATCATCTCCAGATACAGTCATATTAGGGGTTAGGGCTCTAACCTATGGATTGACGAGATATAATTTCTCCCACAGCATTTCATTACTCCCTACCCCACTCATATTCTTGTTTTTGCATGGAAAATACAGTCATTTCATCTCAAGAACCCCCAATGTCTCAACTCATTCCAGCATCAAATGTAAAGTCAGAAGTCCACATGTTACCTAATTCAGATTTGGATAAGGTGCTAGGTGTGATTCAATCAGAGGCAAATTCTCCTCCAGCTATGAATCTATGAAACAAGACAAATTAGGGGATTTTGAAATACAATGGTGGGATGAGCAGAAGATCAACATTCCATACCCAAAAGGAAGAAACAGAAAAGAAGGAAAAGGTGATTTGAGCTAAACAAAGTCCAGAATCTAGCAAGGCAAATTCCTTCAGATCTTACAGCTCAAGAACTGTCTTTGGTTTGACACTCTGCTTTTGGTCCACTGGGATGGCAGGGCAACCTTGCTCCTTTTGCTCTTTCAGATATCCATGAGCTTTCTGGTCTCTGTGAGGGGAGTACCACTTCTGAGGCACCTCCCCCAAATCAGAGAGGGAGCACCACTCATTGAAACTAAGGAGGAAACAACATTGCTTCCTTGACATGTGTGGGAGTGGCAGTCCCATGGTCTCTAAATGGCTTTGGGGTCATTCTTGCTTTTCCTTGAAGCACAGGTTCATAGCCCAATAGGTTTACGGTCTAACTCAGCAGAATCCAAGAGGTCTGACAGTCTTTCTTCACCCCCATCCTGCCTTTTCTTTCCCCTTTATTTCAAACTGACAGAGTCTGTGTCCTGCTGAAATGGCTGATTAAGTGCAAGTCACATCCACAAACTATTTACTAAGAGTTTGTTCAGTTGCACCTTCATGTTCTTTTCACAACACACTTTGCCATATGTTTTTGTAAGAGGCTGAGAATCTCCCAGATCTTCAAGTTCTGGTCCCTTCTTGGTTACTAATTCCTTCTGTTATCAGCAGGAGTTGGATATGTGTTCCACTGGATGGAAGAATGAACACGGCAAATGTGGCCAAGTTAAATAAGGAGCAAGACTTTTATTAAAAAAGGAAAATGAGAGAAAGATTCAGAGCTCCTGGTGCCGTGTGCCTGGGAGGAGCAAGAGTGCCATTTACATCTTACCATGCTCCTCCTTTTACAGGAATGTAATTAGATGATCAGCTTCTCTTGATTGGTTTTTGATATTCCAATTGTCCCACAGTGGATGTGGGTCAGATTATAGATTATGCAGGAACTTTTGGCAAGATGGAAACATCTGCCTTTTCTGAGAAATAGGAACTGTCTTATAACACATTCGGGCATGTTAAAAAGGCTCTCTTCATACTTGGCGTCTTGTCGACATTTACTGTCCTTTCTGTACTCTCCACTATCTATCCTCTGCTATCTCATTTCTTTAACTCATCTTTTTTTTTATCATTTTACTACAAACAGGAGAAACAGAACCACTCCCTCCACATCTTGCTTAAAAATCTCATCAGCTAAATATCCAATTTCATTGCCCATGAGGTCCACCTTCTGCAAAATACTAGAACACTCTCCCACCAAGTTCTTTGCCATTTTATAACAAGGATCACCTTTCTTCCAGTCTCTAATTTTCCACATTTTCTCCTAAGACCCCATCAGAATCACCCTTAAACCTATATTTCTGACATTCACCTCAAAATTCTTTCACTTTCTATACATTTCCTGGTTCCAGAGTCACTTCAATGTGTTTTTTGTTTAGTAGCATCCAACTTTGGGGGTATCTAAATTTGTATTAGTTATTTGAGATCACCAGAACAAAATAGAGTAGAGGGTTGACTTAGACAACAGAAATTTTTTCTCAGTTTTGGAGACTGGAAGTCCAAGATCCTCATGTCAGTAGAGTCAGTGCTTACAAAGTTTTTCTTTCTTGAGTTACAGATGGTGGTTTTCTCACTGTGTCATCCCACAATGGAGAGAGAGTGATCTCTTTCCCTCTTCCTCTTCTTATAAGGCTACAGCCTTATTAGATCAGAGCCTCACCCTTATGACCTCATTTAACCTTAACAAATTCTTTACACCCAATCTCCAGATACACCAGATACAGTTACTTTGAGAGCTATAAGCTTTCTTCGGAATGCAGGGGGCAACTCAATTCATAGTAGCTCTTCACCACAAGAAAAATATCACAACTTTGTCCTAATTATCAAAGCTTGCTAGAAAAATGTTCAGAGTTCAGCAAATAATATTGAAATCCCTGAATCTCCCGACTAGATGTTTTGAGGCAATGAAAATATTGTTGGTCAGAGTGAGTCTGAATGTATGCAGAAGTGAGCCCCAGATGGGGTGGGCATTTTCCATCTAGCCTTTAAAGGAAGCCTAGAACCATTTCTACTCTGCCACTTTTCTCATTTCTGAGTCAACATCCATCCTTACCCACTTTGGTTGAAAGGAGGGAAAGCCCCAATTGTGAGAAAACACTGCTATGGAGCCAGGGAGAGAAGAGAAACTGATGAATAATAAGATACTTATTTCTTTTTTGTGAGCCTTTCCCACTTTTATATAATGATTTGTTGGTCTGGGAAAATTAGGACAAACTAGTCCCAATGCCATTGTTAAACAGACAACCAGAGACCTAATCACAATACAAATTTATGGCATATTATAAGAAAAGTAAAAACGGAGGCATGTGAATACAATGCATATGTAATAAGATGTGCTAGAATACTGGCATTACATAGGATTTTCTAAATATACTCTACTAGATTACTATTGTTTAAAAATTATAATTTGAAATATTACACTGAACTTCCAACTAGGCACCTGGTGAAGTAGAACTGAAAGCTTATCTTGGCAAGAACTATTGCCAGACACGCATTTATGTCAGATCTGGAAGATACTTTAAAGCAGAACTTATAGACAATTTGCTAAAGAATTATGCCACTGAACCCGAGCATACAATGAACAGGTACCCTCTAACAGGGGAAGGGAACACCAGAGACTTTCTGATCTGAAAAACTTCCCTTTCTAACATTTTTTTTATATATATATATATATACTGAGGCCAAATTTTCCTGGGAAACAAAAAGTAAACTGGACTGTAGCCATTTTCCACTGAAAGTCAAGTCCTGGAATGATTTATCATGGATGGTCCCATGAGGTCTTAAGTAGGTACTCATCATGAGAGGGGCTGGTCTAGGGAGTAGGCCAGGTTTATTCTTGAGGTATATAAGAGGGAATTGGCCCATCATTGTATATATATAGCTTTGACCAGAAGTCCCTTCACTTAGCAAATAGGCCTTAGAATTATAGTGTGGAAAAAATTCCTGGAAAATAATAAATACCTAAAAAAAATGTGATCTTGATATTATAAGTAAGTGGCATCATTGAGGCCCCACCAGAGAACCAAAGCAAAATAAAGATGCTTCTTATTCTGAAGGACTTTTAATATATAGTCATAATTTTGTGGTCTAAACAGAAATCATGGAACTTGCTGGTAAATGCATAAAGGAATTACTTATCTAATTGAGCATTCTTCAATAATCTCCCAAATTTTAAAATAATTTCAGAGAAAGAACAGTTTCAAGGCCTTTTGAACTTTAAGTTCATCTTAAAGATATGATAGTACAGCTACTAATGCCACTTCATAATTCTTTAGAGCTTGTAAATACCCCATGGGAAAGAAAGTTGATTCTGTCTATTGCTCCATTTTTATCCCATGGTCTGTCTCACTCTGAGTGTAGTGTATGTGTGTCTGTCTGTCTGTCTGTCTGTCTGTCTCTCTCTCTCTCTCTCTCTCTCTCTCTCTCCATATATATAGATATTGATACAGATACATACTTCACAGAAGTAATGATAGTAGAACCCCTGGAAGTTGCTGACAAACAGACCATGGGACTTTTGAAAGTCTGATTTTTGAAAGCTGGTTTGACCACTTTTATTTATTTATTTTTGGCACCAGGGATTGAACTCAAGGATGCTTAACCACTGAGGCACATCCCCGGCCCTTTTTATGTTTTATTTTGAGACAGCACCTTGCTAAGTTGCTTAGCTCTCACTAAGTTGCTGCTGAGTTGCTAAGACTGGTTTGAACTTTTTATCCTCCTGCCTTAGCCTCCCAAACTGTTTTAATTACAGGTGTGCACCACCATACCCATCCTAGATTGACCACTTTTAAAGAGTAAAACAAATAGTTTTATATAGTTATGTATTTTAAATTGCCAGGCAAAAATAAAGCTATTTCGTAAAATAATATAAAACATAACATGCTGTTTCTTTAAGAATTTAGCAATTTTACTTTATCACTCAATTTATCTGTTTTTGTTTTGCATATGTACTTCAGAAAATTGCCTACTCTGTACCTTGTTCCACTAAAAATTATGGTGTATGGGAAGAAGGATTTTACATGTCATTTAACCTTATATCCTCAGCATCAGGAATAGCCCACCACATCTGGCACTCTCTACATGTTCACTGAATGAATGAATGAGTGAATGAGTGAAGGAAAGAGGTGAAGTCAGCATGCAATGATTATAATAATTATAATTAATTTGTTGGCAATTAACTTTTAACTTGTTTTATAAATGATATTTTTGAAAGCATAGAGAATATATTAAGGAAAGAAAAATAAGTTGGAAGTTTTAATTAGATATAAAATAATATATGTAAAAGGGCTACAAAAATTGTTATTAACTATTTTTTAAAATTTATATTACATGAAGTTGAGATGTGTTGTAATTACAAACCCTTCATCAAATGTTCAAAATACTTAAAATTTATGAAAATATTCAGAAGTGTATGCAGCAGAGTTTTAATAACCACTAAAATAATTTTGTACAATTTATTTGCATCTTTTTAATGCGAAAAGTACCTTGTTAAAAATTCCAGGTCATTCTTATGCTTTCAAAATAAGACTAATAGTGGAATGTTGGTTGGAATTTGAGTCAACCACCAATATTCTAGTCCAGCTTGATGAATTCTTCGGGCTCTGATACTTTAATTTTTTTCTCAGGCACTAATTTCTTTGTTTGTAAAATAAATGATCTACCAAATCCCTTCCCGTTTGAAAACTGTTACTAAAAAAAAAAACTTGGTGTTTGGCAATATGTCTATAGGTTTCATTAAACTTTCAATTATTGGGCAAAATGTGGAAAATCATCCCTAGTAAAATAAGAAATACCTGCATTGCTTTCTGAGCGAGCAACACCTGTTAACTCCTGGGCAAGTCTGTCATTTCCAGTTTCTCGAAGAATGTTCAGAAATATAGAAAACCAGTTTTCTTTCTGCACAATCCTGCTGAGCAACTCTCTTACACCTGATTCATTTGCATTATTTTCTGCAGCAGTAATCTGTTAAGAGAAAAGTAGAAATAAAGAAGATTCAACATATCAATAAATTTAAACAGGAAATAGTTGTTAGGGAAACTGAGCAATTAAGCATAAGTGATTTTTAAAAGTTTATATTCAGATACTAAGGAAAACAGCAATGCTACATGCAGCAATTTTGAAGTCTACCAGGAAAAATATCTCTGAATCAAACACCCTTTGAAACATGTAATTTTTAAGCCATTTTGATGTCCAAACCTGATGCTTAGAAATAAATGTTTTACCTCATTCTGAATAAGAAGAACATGAGAAAACATCTTTCATCAATAACCATATTTTATCTCTTTTTACCAATTTCTTTCTGTATATCTATGGCTTGCTATTTCCGTTCAACACAAGAAGTCTGTAAATGGGAAATAAAATATTTTTTATCCAACTTCTCTTTCTTCACTATTACTACCATGGAAATAAGTAATTACAACCACAGATTCATATTTTTGTTTATTTAACATTTGCATTATTTATAATTACTATAATAAAATTTTCCAAATTTTTGTTTATTTAATATTATGAAATTTTTTCTATATCTATTCCTTTTGTAAAGTATGAAGTAGACTTATTTCATATCCAGTCATTATAATATTTAGTCTTCATTTTCTTTCCTATTTATTTATTTATTTATTTAGGGTACCCAGGATTGAACTCTGTGGCACTTGACTACTGAGCCACATCCCCAGCACTATTTTGTATTTTTTATTTAGAGGTTCACTGAGTTGCTTAGTGTCTCGCTTTTGTTGAGGCTTTGAACTCACTATCCTCTTGTTTCATACTCTGCTGCTGGGCCTAACCTAGTGAATCTTTTTGTAATGTGGATCATTTGTATAATTATTATCACAATGCATCTTCCTAAAATAGATTCTAATAGAGTAACTGACATTTGGAGAAAAGACTAACATAAATCATGTTAGATCGGAAAGAAATGACGCCATCATTAACTTTCTGTGGCATCAAGGAAGCTACTTCCTCTCCCTGAGCCTCCATTTCCACATGTGGAAACTGAGGCCACCAGAATGGAGATTTGAGTGTTAGTTACTCCATTCTGATTGCACATAAGAAACACCTGTGGAGACTTAAAAAAATGTTAATGTTTAGCGTCTGTCCCAAAGGATTCTGGTTTATTTTGTCTATGTTGAGGACACAGAACATTTTTCAAACATTTTTTTAAGCATCTCATGTGATTCTTACCAGCCTCCTAATTGAGAAACACTGATATAGATATTCTCAAAGTTCTTTCTCAATATCTATGAATCTTCTATATCTATAATTTCAGCTGTTTAGGCTAGTTTGTTCTTACAAAATGTGTTTTCTAGTCCTTTAAATATATTCCAAGACTTTTTAATGTCAAGGATTTGTTAACCTTTTTTCAAATAATGTTTTCTACAAATTTAGTATTACCTATTATTATGGATGACCTATGAAAGTATTTACTTTAAAAAACCTACCTCTCTCTCTCTCTCTCTCTCTCTCTCTCTCTCTCTCTCTCTCTTCTTCCTTCCCTCCCTCCTCCCTCCTCCCTCCCTTCCTTTCTTCCTTCCTTTCTACCAAGAATTGAACTCAGGGGCACTCAACCACTGAGCCATATCCCCAGCCCTGGCTTTGAACTCATGATCCTCCTGTCTCAGCCTTCCAAGCCACTGGGATTACAGGCATGGGCCACCACACCTGGTCTTTTACAAACATTTCACTAGCAGATACTACTTAGTATAAAAAATTGTTCTACATGACCTCTACTCAAAAGTCATTTTAGTCCTATTAGCTAGTAGGTAATTATACTGTCCTAGGGCTTTTCATATATTAAGCTAGCAACCCTGAAATAGATACCAACATAAACCCCTTTCACAGATCAGAAGGCCAAGAGGCACAAAGATGTTTGGCTCTCTCTCCAAGGTCACAAGTCTAATAAATGTCAAAGGTAGAATTTCATAGAGGTAATTGACTGTAGAGGCTAAAACCTGACTTCTTGCGCTATAATCACAGCTAAAAATTTTCTTCAATTTTATTTTTTGTCAAAAAGTGATTATTTGCACTTAAAAATTAAACTTATGAAATTTTAAGTGATTTCAGGCCATCTCTCACAAACCATTGTCTAAGCAATTTCTTGCTCATTTCCTACTTTTTCTCTAACTTCATTAATCTCCTAATGGAAATTTTTTGACTTCTCTGGTATTTGTAAGAGTTTTATTATTTCCTACTAATTGGAGAAGTAATTGCTATTGACACAAATTACACTGGTTTCAGCACCTCATTTTAACTAAACCCTTCCTTTTATTTTTTTTCCTGATACTAGGATTAAACATTGAACTTAGGGGGTACTTTATCACTGAGTTATATCTCCAGAATTTTTACTTTTTATTTTATTATTTTTTAATATTTATTTTTAGTTGTAGTTGCCAATACCTTTATTTTATTTATTTATTTTTATGAGGTGCTGAGGATTGAACCCAGGGCTTTGCAAGTGCTAGGCGAGTGCTCTACCACTGAGCCACAACCCCAGCCCTTTACTTTATATTTTGAGACAAGGTTTTGCTAGGTTGCTGAGGCTGGCCTTGAACTTACAATATTGCTGCTTTGGCCTCCTGAATAGCTGGATTACAGGAGTGCACCACCATGTCTGGCTTCAGTCATTTCCATTTTTATTATCCCATTTTTAATCAGCTTTAAATATACTTGAAGGAAGTAATAAGAAAGTATTTCTCTAAAAAGAATTAATGGGCACTATAATGAATACTTTTATTAAAAATCTAAGCATTTTCTACTCACTAAATTTTCTTTGACTATCAATCTGTTAAGTGGATTTTTACTCTGGAAACACATATGTCACATTTTCTTTACCTTTATTGATCCTAGGCATTTGCATATTATAATGCTTTTGTTTTCTACATTTATTTGTACTATTTGAATGCAGAAATATATATAACATCTGTGTAATTTTAGTAGCTTCATCAAGATTCTGAATTTTTAAGAAATCATCCCCATTTGGGTGCTGGAAAGTACATCAGTTCCCTTTGAAGTAATTTTACACACACACACACACACACACACACACACACACACATACACACACGTTTTTCTTAATCTATTTTCCCATAATATTATAAAGATGTTAGGCCCCAATAAATAAACACAATAACAGAAATTCCTAGAAGGGGAATATTTAAACTTGAGATTGATATAGAATGATTCCCTCCCCTACTAGAAGTTTTCTCTATGAATTTAACAATGTCAATGGCAACATTGTTAACTAATTTATGGAACATAAAATATAGGTAAATTTCAATGGAGTAGTTTCATACAGCTATAAAGAAGAATATAATTGTCATTTGTAGTAAAAAAGATGGAATTGGAAAGCATCATGGTGAGTGAAATAAACCAGAAACATAAAGTCAAGGGTCATATGTTCTCACATGTTGAAGCTAGAGAGGAAAAAATAAATTAAAAAAGGAACTCGTGGAATCAGGAGAGATGCCAATAGAGTAGAGGAAGAGGATCTGGGGGAAGGAGGATGGCAGGTGAAGGGGATGCTGGGTATGAAATTAATCAAATTATACTATGTGCCCATATGAATATGTCAAAATGAATCCCACTATTGTGTATCATTGTAATGCACCAATATAAAACAAATAAATATGGTAAATTTGTGGGTAAAGCAACTTCTAAATTTTCTGTTAATTTTTGTTTTTCTTTCCAAAAGAAACAGTTAATCGATGTGATTCTGCAGTTTGTATTTGGGGTAAAAATGGGAGTTCATAACCCAATTGAGTCAAATGTATGAAAGATGATATATCATGAGCTTTGTAATGTTTTGAACAATCAATAAAAAAAAAGAAAACAGTTAAGAAACCAAAGATATTTTCATTAAGCACTGGCTTGCCCACATGATGTACAGTTAATGAAAAATGTTTTGTCTTCTTGTATAATAACCTCAGATTGCTATTTAAATATAATGGTTTTTTTTAATCCAGTAGAGTTAAACTATCAGATAACAGTAAATTAGGAAACAAAATTATGTTAAAGCATATAATTTGTTCATGTTTTAATCACGTGTTTAATATCAAACTGACAGCTAAGTTTATTCATATTTCTTTTTTTCCTCTTGTTTTTCCTAATTTGCTTGACAATACAATAAATGAGGGGAAAACTGACTGGGACACTCATTTCATTTGAGGAAAATAGGATTTAGCTTCTAGCTGGACTAGTCTCAGTACCTCTGTTTTTCCCAAATAAACAAAAGGTGTATGGAGTGACCAAGACTACATGTGTCTGAATTCTTTTGAGCCTGGTTGAAACATGTACCTCTCTTGGGTTGTTCCGATTGACATTAAGATTCTGTGGAAATGTTTAGATGATCACTTCTGTTACAGAGTTCACAGCTGTCTAAATCAATGGGTATGCCAAATTGTCACTATGCACCCTAAAAGAAGCAGGGCAGAACAGGGACACTCCCTTACAGGGATGGTTCTGATGTAATGATCTGTAAAAGAACTAGTGTTTACTGCTGTGTCTCCAGCATTTAGGATACTGCCTTGAGTACAGTAGGTGTTCCTTAGCTATTGGTAGGAAGGATGAACTCTAACATTGCAACTTGAACTCCAGGGAAGCACAGCCGTTGTCTCTGATTTTCTCTTATCTTTCCCACTAGCTTGTTGTCTGGCACAAATATGCCACTCAACAAATTCAAAAATGAATGAATAAATCAATAAACCTTTGTTGGGTACTTATTGGACACAAAACTAAGTCACAGATTGTTTTCAGAATCCCCACTTTAATTGGGGGAAGGGGCTGACATATGGAGGTAGGAATCCTAAACTAAAATCACAGTCCAAGTAGGAAATGTCTACTGGAACACAAGTAAAGAATAAAAATAAAAGATCAATTTTTAGAAGTCCTGATTACTTAGTTAAGCTAAGCTTAACTTTTGTTATCTTTTTCTAAACTGTCAAAAATTACATTTGGAAATCTAATGCACATCATCCATTCATTCTCCAATGCCTGACAAGGCAATCTAACACATCATGTGTTTTCAACTCATTCCAGAGAATTTTTTGGAAATTAATTCAAACAATTAATCAAGTAATCAGTATTTATTAAGTACCAATCCTATACCTAGTCCTGGCTAGGTTTTGGGAAATGAAAGATGTATTTTCCCCTTCAAATCAGTTTAATCTAGGGACTTTTAAAAGCAGATCTCAATTGCAACATGAGATTTACCTAAATCCCTGAAGCTTCAACTTTATATGGAAATGTAACCAGATGAGTGTTAATAAAATCAATATAATTATATCAAAACAGTAAGTTCTTTCCTAAACACTATTTTTCATTTGATGTTGACTAAAGCACTATGAAAAAAAGAAATGACTACAACGTTCATTTTCATTGGATATACTTAGGATTAGAAAACTTAAATAACTTCCCAAAGTTGTCTATGTAGTAAAAAGCAAATATAGCCCCAAATCCACATCTTCCCATTATAAACTCTCATGACTGTCCCATCACACTTTCTGCTATTGGATAAACATCATGGATGATTTCCACATCACTAGAGATTCTTCCAAGTATAATGTTTCCTTCTCATTGTTTCCATAGCTTAACTTTGGAAAGGATAATGTACACACACACACACAGACACACAATTATTAGTCTCTCACAGAGTCCCTATTACTCCTAGTCTCAAATAAGTAGCTCTTCATTCTTTCCAGTCTCCTTTGAAATGTGAATCTGAGGCAAACTTTGGGCTGTTTTGGCCTCAACTGCCATCATTACACAAAAGTCCCTTTACTCCCAGTCTTCTTTGTGTCAAATCCCTTGCAATACTGCTAGCTGCCTCCAAGCTTGCCAGAATCAAGAACTTGGATAAAATGTAGCTGGCGGAAATTCAATCCAGGCAAGACAAAAGTGATGCTGATAGGCAGAAGTATTTAGAGTAAATAAGAAGAAGTGCTGTTTCACTGGCAATCGGGACATCATACCCACCAAACATAAACAGCTTTGTGGTGTTACTGGACTCTGTTGCTTCTGGACTTCCTAACAGCTACTGTGGCTGGAAATGCCATCTTCCATCTCCAGCTGGCTTGAAGGCTGCATACTTTCTTCCAAATTAAGATTCTGCCACAGTGATGTACACATTTGTCATATCCAGCTGGACTACTATAATGCGTTCTAGTTGGTGCTCAATACACAAAATGACATAAACGCTACAGACAACAGTGTAAAGTAATTTACTTTGTTGGGAAAACTGGCCATCACAATTCAACGCATGTTGAGTCTTTGGATAGGCCCTGTAGCTGTTGAGTCTACGAAGGACCATTAACTTTAGTTACTAAAGATCAACTCATAATACAGGCTAAAGCCAACTAATCTGATACCCAGAACATTGTAAAGAAGATACAAATAATTAATGAATCAAACAGAAAAAGGAAAATGTCGAAATAATAACATAGTATAGACAAAACCCCTTGACTTGTGGTGATTTATCTACAAAGCTTTTAAAATACACTTTTGACTTACAACCATGAATAAGGCAGCATTTGTATACTTCAAGTATACAAATTCAGCATTCAAGTAGGCCAGCATTTGTATACTTCATAGTATATTTTCATTCATTGAAAAACAATGAACATTACATTAAGTTTTGTAACATCACCTGTCAAATTCATCCTATCAAAATGCTACCTTTATGAAAATCTGCTATTCTTTTCCTAATATGAAAAGCTGCAACTGGCAACATATTTCTTCAAATGAATTATCTCCAAATTTTTATTCCAAAGAACATGGAAACTTCGGTTAAACAAAGAACAAAAAAGTGTGTGTGTGTGTGTGTGTGTGTGTGTGTGTGTGTGTGTGTGTTATATATAATTTCCTCATTTGAACCAAGATTAAATGGTATAATGAATAATATAGGGCAGAAGTTGAAAAGCTTTTACTCTAAAGGGGCAGATAATAAATATTTTAGACTTTACAGGCCATATGGTTTCTGTTCAACTGTGAAAAGCAGTCATAAAACACATGTAAACAAATGAGCACAACTATGTTCCAATAAAACTTTATAAACACAGAAGATAAAAAAAAATTCAAAAACCTAAAAACCATTCTTAGCTTCTGGGCCTGCAAATATGAGTAGCAGACTGGATTTAGATTTGGGGCTATCATTTGCTTGCCTCTGTTCTATGTAACCACATTAAATAAGACCTAAAATTCAATACTATCAGGACTTGATGAATCTAGCTCTGCATTGTTTTTCCTGGAAGAAGTTGAGCAAATTAACTTACCTTAGTTTTCTCTTCTGTAAAAAAGAAACAATTCCATTATGACCCTTCATGGGTTATTTCAAACATAAAATTATTATAATTGTACATAGTAAGTGTTCAATTAACAGAATTTATTAATACAAATTCTGCTTTAATGTTAGTTCTCTAGTTTTTTTCAGTGAAAGGATAAGAAAGTTAACTCTTTTGTGTTTAAAATTTCAAAATTATGTTTTCCAGTGCCCAAATCGTCTCTTTTTAAAGAAGGAGGGAACCAGATTTTAAAAAACCATTTGCAATCCCCACTTTGCAAAAATCTTTCTTAAAGCCCAACTCCATCTGAACTGACACCTACCCGATTTCTGTCTTCAAGTGTCAACAGTTCCTTCTCCATGCATTTATCCAAGACATCTTTAACCAGAAGCTTGTCCACCAGAGTGGGCTGAAGGAGGTTCAGCAGTTGGAGACATTCATCGTGAGCCTTCTCAAAAGATGGGGAGGGCAAGTCTGTGAGATCCGGGTTCACATAACGTGCCGCTAAGGTGTTGCCGGTTCTCTGGAGGGCCACCACAAATTCCCGTGTCCAGCCAGGGGACCAGACTTCCTTCTCCAAGGTGTTCAGGAGCAATTCAACTGCGCGCATGTTACCAGAAGTGGCCACGGTCCTGCGAATCTGCTCCTTCACTTCATTAGTCAGAAAGGTCAAGTAGTCCAGGACGGGCTCTACCTGGATGTAACTTTTCAATCTGACCCTGAAGCAAGAGATGAGGTAGCGAAAGTTCTTGTCTGCAGAGAACCCATTCGACATCTTTCCTTCTCAGAGAGGGAGAGGATTCTCCCAACTAGATGGTCCACAGTTGAGTGTTTGCAAGGCTGTCAGCTGCTTTGAGGTGGCAGGGTCCTCTGCGCTGTTCCTAACGACACGGTGACCTGCGGGACCCTGGGCCGGGGCAGGACAGCGCGGTGACGCCTGAGCAGGTGGGCAGGCAGGTGGGCAGCGCGCGCGGTATCCCGGGCGCGGACGCGGCAGGTTCCGACTGACAGGCCGGTTGCTTTGGCTCTGGCAGGGCGACACTTGTACCTTCGCTGAGTCCTGTTTTCCGCCAGGCAGTTGTTGTGGTTAGCTGGACTGGTTTCTGTTTCGATTCTCTTTTCAAAAGACTTTCCATACGTAATCTCCAGGGCCCCAGGGCCGGCAGTGTGTTTCCCGGGAGGAGCCACCCTTTGGTCACTGTGGGTTAGGAGAGGGCTTCGGTAGAGGTCACTATGGGAAATAGGAAAGGAGAGCGGATTTTCTTGGATCCATTAAAACAGCAAAAGCAATGGCAAAGTTCCCCGGGGCCTGTGTTTTGGCTTCTCAGCAGGGTTCTGCCTTAACAATTAGATCCTTTGTCAGCTAAAATGTAGAGAGCAGGAAAGTGTGAGATTTGGGACTTCCCGTGTGGAAAATGAAGAGAGACTGCCCCAGACCCTGATGTGAGCAGAAAGGAATTCCCCTTTGCTAGTGAAGGCACTTAAGTCTGATCCAGCCAGAGGGTGAAATTGCAAGGGACTGGCCAGGAGATGAAGCTAAGAAAAACAGGGTTCCAAAATCCAGGAACTCCAGAACACCAGAAGGAAGTTACCTTTGCACCCTTCCTAAAATAAACCTGACCTCTGGCCTCCCAAGAACTAATTTGTTCCGCCAAGAATTTGGGTGTGAGTATGGGGAAAAAAATAAGTAATAATAAACAGTTATAGCCTGATTTCCTCAGGCCTAGATTGCTAGTATTTATATATCCTTGACCAGGGCCTGATGACAGATGCAGAAGTACTTTAACCACTAACTCAGTTCAGGAGGAAGCCAAGACTGAAGTTTTCCTATCTCCCAGCATGTGAGTTCCCATATTCTTTAATAGATAACTTTCTTTTAATAAAACAAAAAACAAAACAAAATCCCCAACAACTTATTTTTGATATAGCTGCCATTCTTTTCTTGGATTCCATACAGCAAGTTTTGGCTGAAGCAACTAGGAACTTAATTAGCAACTAATGTACCAACTTGTAGTAAACATCAACATTTGTCTATGTCATGAGAGGGAAAAAAAAAAAGACATTCACACTGAAAAATGGCAGCTTCATTTCAGTACAGAAGCCACAAAAACACAAGTGCTTCAGGTTGCGGCTCACTAGAAGGCATTCTGCAGCCCTGGGCAACTGTGGTGGTAGTAGTATATGATAATAACTTCATGGTTCGGAATTACATGGTAGATGGAGGGGTCATTTAGGCCATCAAAGATATATTTAGGAAAATTAATGTTAGCAAAGCATATTCAGTGACATGTGGATAATACACTGAAGCCTGGTGGTTCTTTGGACCTTGGGAATTTCAGAGTCTTTAGGTTTATTTACTGAGGCATACATAATACACAGATAAGCAATTTACAGCATATTGTCTTATTTTATTCTAGAATTATAGTATATGACTAAGACTCTCTTCCAAAGAACTGTAAGCTCATGGAAGAAGGGACATATGTATAGTGGCCAGTAAAATGCTATATGAATAGGAGGCCCTTGATGATTTCACCTCTGAACAGGAATATTGAGTTGATGTCTGGCCTGATGTCTAGCACACAGAATTATTGAAGTGAATGGAACCTTGGCCCTGTGGAGTTCTTTATTTTCTGTTTCTTCATAGGACCCTATTATTTTTTGTTTTGGGAGTTGACTTTGTAATTAGATAAAATAGAATCAAATTTGATGTTTCTACAGAAGTATTCAGCTTACTAATTTTAGTTATTAGGTCTACAAAGATCTCATTTTGGGCTATTGCAAAAATGTATCTCCCAATGCCTCCCCACCCCTGCCAGCTACCTGTGGGTTTAATTCAATATGTTGAAGCACAAACTGACCCATCAACCAAAAGCCATTCTGTTCCCTGGCACCTATCCTTCGATATTTTGGTTCTAAACACTGGAGAAAGAGAAGGGATTGGTTATTTTCTATGGGGAAACAGATAGTGTCATTTTCTTAACCAGTAAATTGTTGTCCTGGTGGAGAAGGAGTCAAAAATTATTCAAATTATATCATTCATTCACTTGCTCAAGAAATATTTACTAATACTTTATGATCAGCTCTGTTCTAAATGCAGTTAATAAAATGAAAAATACAAAATAAAGTAGGTAAATAAATAATAATATATTTAAAAGTTTCTATTTTTATAGAACCCACATACTAAATGGGAGTGGAAAGACAGATAATTAATAGCAACCAACAAATATCCAATGTGCCAGATAAGGATAAATGCTATGAGGACTATGGTTAAGAGCTAGATGAAAATACACACTACAGTTTTTCTGTCTGGTTTTCCATGTATAACTGTCCTTGCTTACCTGTCATTATCAACATCACATGATAATATCAACAATAATCCATAGTCATTCTCAGTTGAAGTTGTTGAATAAGGATTGAGTGATAAGGACTGAGTGTGTTGGGAACAGTAAAGGAAATAGAAAGGAACCTCTCTTTCAGGAATCTGCCATTATTTTGATAGGGCCGCTTATAGAGAAAGGTTGAAGAAACAAAAACCAAGCCCCTGTCTCTCAAAAAGAATCTTTTTTTCTTCATGTATATTTTTGCATGGTGTTTTAGTTTATTTTCTGCCTTTTCTTTGGGTATTTTTCTCTGTCTGGTTTCTTCTAATATCTTTCACTTTCATATTTTATTTTCCCAATGTGAATTTCAGTTTCCTTTCTCTTTTGAGATAGGAAAGGCTGCTGATCTATGTCTTTCCCTCTTTTCATGGACCTGCCTGTTGTTTATACCCTGCCTCCTCCACCAAAATAATTTCCAGCCTCCATCAGTTTTAAAACACTCTTTAGTGTTTTGTTCTTTGTGTGGTAGTTCAGGAAGATCCTGAATAATTGATTCTCATTATTGTCCAACTTTTCATTTTAATTTTTTACATTTAAGTAATAGAAACAATCACAGTTGTCATGAGAACATAATGATCACATGAAGCAGTAATATTTTTTCCAAAGAAATTGACAAATAATTTAATTTAATGAGAAAATCTTTAAGAATTTTTAGATAGTCCTTCATTTGTTTACTAAATTATATCAATAAAGAGCAATTCTATGTGACTTAAAGTGTTAAATGCTTTTACCCTAGCAGTATGGAGTTGTGGTTATGCACAGAGACTGAACCCAGAGTGTAGGGTTCACAGTTAGCATGATCTAATATTGTATGATTAAGAGAATCACCTAATATACTTCAGTTGTAAAATAATGATGCCAGTATCATGTCGTAAAGTTATTCTATTCTAAGCATGGACCGAAAAGCACTTATCACTAGACTTGAAATGTTTATGTGCCTAGAAAGTGACTGCAGCCCAATATGCTTACAGAAATAAAAGAAAAGAGATTGTACCAACTTTCAGACCAAGAACATTCTATAAAGGAAATAATTTAGTTTTGTATATAATAAGTAGCCAATATATATAATTTGTATATAATAAGTAGTCTATACTCAGTGTCTTTTATTTTTGCAAGAAATTTATAGGCTTATTTATCAGGAATGTTTATTATTAAGTAACACTGATTTAACCTTCAATTTCAAACCATTAGTGGTCCCATAATAGGGGAAAAAAAGTTTTAGTTAAGTTTACTTGATTTTGATAATTATTTCCTAGTTAATTCTACCAATTCAATTAACATTGTAGTTTCCAGTGTTCACATTAAAAGTTTGTTTGTTTTGTTTTTTACATAACAAACAGTTTTGGCAAACAAATCATATTTCAGTGGATAATTTTTCAAACATTTATTTTTCAAATTCTTCCACCATAGCTTAAGTCTTTTGAAAACAATTTCTTTCAGGTGTTTTTGTTAAAATGGTACCTTCACCTCAAAGGCATAGATTTTGTTTCTTTTACTTTATTTTTTTAAATTTTTTAAATATTTATTTTTCAGTTTTTTGGTGGACATAACATCTTTATTTTATTTTTATTTTTTTTAGTTATACATGACAGCAGAATGTATTTTGACATATAATACATACATGGAATGTACATACATCAATCATAATTTCTATTCTATTCTGCTGCCCTTCCTATCCACCTTACTTCTCCCCTCCTCTCCCATCCTTTCTCTCTATCCATGTTTTACTTTATTTTAAATGCTGGCTAGACACAGCGGTGCACAAATATGATCTCAATGACATGGAATACTGACGCAGGAGGATCACAAGGCTGAGCTTAGCAAGATCTTAAGTGACATAGTGAGTCCTTGTCTGAAAATGAAAAACAAAAGGGCCAAGGAGATGGCTCAGTGGTAAAGCACCTTTGAGTTCAATCTTCAGTATCAAATAAATAAATAAATAAAATGCTTAGGAGCAATCTCTTGTCAAATGTAATTAGACTGCCATTTTCTTCACCCTGCAATGGTCACTGTGGGGTTAGACATTGAGAAGTGGAAGTTTTAATTGCTTTATGCCCACTGTATACAAATTGTTAAATATTTTTTACTCCTCTCTTGCTAATTTTACAACTGATAGTCTTAAAGTAGGACTAGGAATATTAGGGCTATAGAATGAGCTATTGAAATAAAATATAGAAATACATTGAAACAAATTTCAGAATTGCTAAATAACAAAAATTTATACTAAAAAATTTAAAAATGAAACATTTTAAACTCCAAAATATTGCTTATCATTAATACACAAGATTATATAAATTGCATTCAAAAAAATCTTATTTCATTCACCTGATTCTTTACTTTTTAGTTTTTGGTTGTATTTTATAATACATATACATATAAGTATAAGTTGTACATATAAGTGGGTTTTTTTTCAATAAATGCATCTATATTCTTAGGAGTCTGTATTCAAATTTTCATTTGTTTTTTCAGTCCTAGGGATTGAAAGCAGGGCCTTGCACATTCTAGGTAAGTGTTCTCTTACTGAGCTACATTCTAGCCCTTTCCATTTTCTGGTTTGAGATCATGCTAAGTTGCTCAAGCTGGCCTCAAACTTGCTATCTTCTTAACTTAGTCTCCCTAGTACCTGAAATTACAGGCATTGTTCCCACCTCATGTGCAACTATTTTAAATGACAAGGAGCAAAACATTCTGATTTTTGATAGTAAACAAATGCTACAGGATCTTTAGACATTTTATTGGAATATGACCCTAAGAATTCTAGAAAATTTGTTTCCCAGTTTCTTTACCTTCCTAATATAAACATTGCTTTTGAAGAGTATTTCCCAAGAGGAAGCACCAAACAGCACACTTGATTCCCTTTTTGTGGTCACAAAGTGAGCCAGGTGACATTACAGGAATTTTTTTCTCAGCCCTATCGTCAGAATAGCCTCACATGGAAAGATGTTTAACCCTTGCACCAAAACTCCATGATTTGAAACTTTAACATCAGTTAATTTTCCCTTCAAACCCACTTGTGATTGTACTGCTCAGG